ACATTTAGAAGAAGTTTCAATCATACAGGAAAACGAGAGTGCAAATTTTTATTTTTTTTTTAAAAAAAAAAAATCATTTGGAGCNAAAACGATATGAATAGAAAATTTGGTAACACTTTTAAAATTTTCAAAGATCTGGATGAGTTGAAATATACGTGACTATGATGAGTTGAAATAGTTAAATACAATTGAATCAAGACAATATTCTGGATTTTTGTTTAACTATATACAATCCTAGCTATATATATTTAGAAATGATTGTGGGTTTTTAATTAGGCTAAACTTCATGGGTAATTTTCTTATATTTCTCTTAATAAATAAACCAATAATAGAATGAAGACACTTCCTTAATAGTGGGTAGTTGCAAGAGTTGCCCATCATTTTTCATTTTTTTGCCATTAATTAAGAGTCCATGCAAGAATTAAACAATCAAAAAAATGTTCTAACCCCACTTTTTTACTTGAGGATGAATTTCGAACGGTATGTCTCAATTAGTGTAGAGGCTCCCATAACTTGTAATAAAAAGACAACAAAATTACCGATGCTCATAAGTTGGAACATCGTATGGTTAAAGGATGTTTTAAGCACCAATGCTTTTGATCACCTTACTACTAACGGGCTTCTATAGCATATATCTAACGGAACATTGACATTTTATGTTGTATGTCATGGAGAAAGAAAATTAAGAAATTGTATCTCTAAGAATTAATGCTAATTATGGTATAATTGAAATGTGTAAAACTGTAATGGGTTGGAGAAAAGAGATAAATTGACTAAATAATATATAATAGAAGTTGGTTAGAATGACTTCTACATAAAAGACTTAGACATTTTCAATGTTGCGTACACTTGTTCTGCTATCTGACAACAAAATAGTACAATGCAAAGACCATTGAAGATGTTTTTAGCTACCCACTAAAGGCTGCCTAGCGGTTTTTGAAACATTGATAATAAATTATAGTTTCGGCTCGTTAAACTAACGAACTCGAATCTTAACAAATTGAATTATGCTAAAAGTTTCAAAAAATTTATGTAAAACTCCTATTTTCGAGTTTTAACGATTCAAGCTCACGAGCAGCTCATTTCGTTTAATAGCTACAAATAAGTAATGTTCTTGGACAAATTCTTACTTCTTAAACATACTTTCTAAGCTATTAAGGCAAAAACCAGTCCTCTTCCAACAATCTTATATTGCCACAGAGTTGTGAGAATTATTCCTTAAATTCGTGGTTTAGAATCAAGTAAAAGCGTGCTTAAATTCTATTGGTGGACTCCTTAAAATTTAAATTTGGATTCTATTGTGGTGGGCTCCTTAAAATTTCAATTTGGTTCTCAATTAGTCTTGGTTAAAATCGAACAACTCCTTATATTAGTGGTTTAGAATCAAGTATATGCGTGCTTAAATTCTATTGTGGTGGGCTCATTAAATTTCAAGTTGGGTGTCAATAGTCTTGTTCAAATGTATTTGATCACTTTTGCACGTGTATTGAAGTAGTAGCCTCAAACTGAATTTGATTCTGAAGCTGATGCAAGTGGATCACCAGCTGATTCTTATTTTCTTCACAATTATTATTATCATTCTAATTCTACAAACTGCCTTTAAATTTTTTGAGTGAACAATTTTTATTTTTTTTTTGAGTGGCAGCAATAAATATTATACTTCAAAAAAGTATAGATTACANAAATAAGATCAAGAACAATAAGGTTGGACTAACAACCAGCTAAAAGACAAGGGGACGCAACAAAAAATTTAAAAGGAAACTAATAACCTTGCACATAATTCACCTTGCACATAATTCAAATACAAGTTTAGTCAATTGAAAATGCAAAGTACAAGTGAGAAAAGTTGCACGTAGCGCCTGGAACAGTGGAAAGTCTTAAAGGGCTTCAGCCCAATTTAAGATCTTAAGATCTTATATGCCCATCAATTGGGCTAAATAAGAACGGGTAACATCTTAAGAAGACATCTATTGGGCTCGATAAAAACGGTCTTTAACATCTCAAGAAGTCTATTGGGCCCAATAAGAAGGGTCAACACATGTGCGCACAGGCTTTATAATCACACGGTCTTTAAGATCTTAGATTATAATCACTTACCATAATAATCTCATTCAGATTTATTAAGTATTGATTGGGGACATTATAATCAGATTTTTTATTATTACACATAAATTATATTTTTTATTCATTATATTGCATTCAAATTTATTAGGTAATGATCTAAACATATAATGATTATATATAATTTAGGGTTACATTTATATAGATCAATTTTTCATATTTTTCATAATTATTATATTTTTAATCTGAAATTTTACGTATTAAAATTTACGAAATAAATTTATAAATCTTACATTTTTCAGAATGAATTCAATACGAAAAAAAAAAAAATTAGTCCAAAGTGAAACTTTGAAATTCAAAATCTCTTCTCATTTTAGTTACAAGAAAATCGGGTTGCATTCAACACTTGGACCAATTTAAAAATTATTCCTTAAATGCAGGAATTTATAGATAATTGTTATCTCTACTCAATCACATGATTAATTTCAATATAAAAAGAGACAGATTACAAATTAGTGAATCATATATTACCTAATTCAATATCTTAACATTAAGGAATAAATCCATAGTATTATGTAAATCCGTATCTCATATTATTATATCATTAAGAATATATTATCAAATCATAAAAAGATATTAAACCCATATTGTAAAAAAAATAATTCATATAATTTTATAACAATTCTACTACACTATTTAACAGTATTCATTTTTATTATATAATAAAATAATAATTAAATATTATATAGTGAACAACAATAGGTAAAACTATTACTTTCTCTTATATCAAGGAATAAATTTATATGCTAAAATTAAATTTTTATTAGTATAAATGTTTTAGTGAGATAATATATTAATTATTTTACAAGCTAGCCCTAGCATGCTCATATTTAATGTTCTGGCTAAAAAAACAACGCTGGTTAAAAAATGTGAAAAAAAACTTATAATAATCCTATTGTTTTTTAGATTTAACGTTGATTAAAAGAGGTAGAAAATAAATAATAACCTATTATTTTTTAGACTTAAACAAACAAAGGTGTGAAAATAACCCATTTAATATTTCTGTCCCGTGCATCGCACGGGATACGTACTAATTTAAGGGTAATCACAGATTCTAGGGTGAATAAGTGGAACGTCAGGCGAGTCGATTCATCATATTTTTTTAACAGAAATGCATTTCTCGTACGGTGAAATGTCATACTTTATTAAAGCTGTTTTTTAAAAGCATGATATTGGAATATGAATATATGCATATCTGTTAAGAAAAGTTTGTCTGACGATTATATGCATATCTGTTAAAAAAAGTTTGTCTGCCGATTACCTAATCGTCAGACTTGCGAGGCAGATCCTTAGGGCATGCTTGGACACAAACAAATCCGCTCAAAATGGGGTTTTTTGGTTAATCATTAAAGTTGGTATGACTAGTTGTTAATGAAATTTTGAGTTTATATTAAAATAATACTCAAAATAAAATAATTATAGTTAATTTAATGTAAAAGTAAGAGAGAGAAGATATGAAGTGATAGTTAAAATTATATGAGTGGATGAATAGTGAATTAAAGTTAATGTGGTGTGTAAGAATGATTGATTGGTATTAATTAATTATATTGATAATATTGAGGATAGTTGAATTTTAAATTAGATTTTGAATATAAATTGAAATAATTTATAAACAAACACACCCTTAAGCTCTATAATAAGTCATTGAACAAGCAGAGAAAATTAATAGGCAACTGAAAACTGCAATAGTTCATTAGTCTTGAACTGTTTATTACACATTACCTTCTTCGACGAGCTGAGCCACATCACAGTCAAAACCCAGCAGCATTGAATCTTGAAGGGAAAACCATCATTTATCCTGACAAATGTAATCTGTTATCTGGTTGTCAAGGCCAGAAGCTTAGAGGGTTATAGGCCTTGACTGGTGGCACAGTATAATTATAATGTAATTACGAGAAGCTACTATCACATTAGCTTACAGATATTCATTTGAATGGTGTGAGGAAATATACTACCTGCATAAACTCAATACAATCCCTTTGCCTAAGATGCTTTGAGGGCTTGCCTGGTGTTATAATTAATGGAAGACGCTAAAAGCTTGCAGCTTCTTGTTCACAGACTTATAAGGATATACATAATCAAAACTGAGAGCCAGCTAATTTAAAAATCTTGGGATGAAAAAGGAAAAGAAAAGGAATGGTAGCGGAGAAAAAGAAAACTGAAGGTAACAAATGTAGTACTCATTGGTACCACTACGAAGCAACCATCCATATAAAGAAGTGTGTGCTAATGATATACTATGAGCAATGAACTTTTTCATGTTATATATTTCTTCAAACAAACCCAGCTATGTGAGCAAAAATGGAACAATCCAACCACTTGAGGCTACTAGAAAACATAAATTGGGCAACTAGCAAATAAAACCAGGACATAGATTATATCACTGCAAAACAATAAATAGCATAACTAAGCAATTCCCTTGTTTCATAAACTAATCCATCCGCACAAAGTAATAACGCTCAACATACTAAGTATGAGCAGTGAACTTTTTTTTGTTATATATTTCTATCAAACAAACCCAGCTATGCGAAACTTTTTCTTGTTATATATTTCTATCAAACAAACCCAGCTATGCGAAAAAATTGGAACTTTCTACTCACTTGAGGCTACAATCAAACATATATTAAGCAACTAGCAAAGAAAGCCAGAACAGGGATTATATTATATCACTGAAAAACAATAAATACCATAACTGAACAGTTCCCTTGTTTCATAAACTAATCCATCCACACAAAGTACGAAACGCTTAACAAACCCACCCAACAAAAATGCCAAGTATCTTTGTCAAATCAAATCTCGTGCGAAAAATAAGTTCAAAGCTGATTATAGGTCAGTAACTAAATGTACCACAAATTTCATCGAACACAATCATCAAAAACTCATACCCTCAGAATCTGCAGCTTGTTCGAGAAAGCAATCGCCACCCAATCAGGCTGCGAAGATGACCATTGCAGCTGCTCGATCTCTGCTCCTGCCGTGTATGCCAGAATTGGGTCAAGCCCACCCTCTACGGGCTGGGTCATAGACGAGAGGTCCCATATCAGGGCCTGCGAATCATCTCCTGCAGTGCAAATATGGCACGAGCTATGTGGGGCCCACGCAATCGCGTTCACGCTCGACTGGTGCCTCTGCAGCTCCACCACGGGCAGCGTTGGGAAACGTATATCGAGCACCACAATCTTGCTGCTGTCCATTATGATGGTGGCCATGTACCTCGGGTCTTGCTTATTCCAGCCGAGCCTCACTAATGGTGTGTCGGGCTCGGAGCTTTCATAGATGATGGTCGAGTGCTCCTTATCCCGCAAATCGAAAACCCTAACCGAGCCATCGGCTGAGACGGAGGCGAAAACCCCCACACCTCCCCAGGCTATGTCGTAAACCTCCTTATCGTGAGCGATCAGCTGCGTGTCCACCACTTCCTTCTCGATATCCCAGATGGTGCAGGTGGTGTCGATGCTGGAGGTGCCGATCCTCCGCGGCTCGGCCTCGTTCCAGTCGAAGGAGGTGAGCGGCCCGGAGAACTCGCTGTTGCGGTTGTTGTTCAGAAGGCTCTTGAGCTCAACGCGGCGGCCGCCGTCAGAATCGGAGATCTGCCAGAGGCGGAGGAAGTCGGAGGAGGAGGCGAGCAAATCGGGGCGCTGGCACTCCTTGTCGGGCACGAAGATGAGCTTGGTGGGCGGGTAGGGGTGGTCGAAGGATAGGGCCGTGTCGGGCCGGATCTCGCCGGTGGAGTCGTCGAGCTGCACGATCTCGACGCGGTTGGGGTACTGCTCGATGAGGCTGGCGATGGCGAGGCGGTACTTCTTGTCCTTGCGCACGCTCCAGTTCATGGCGTAGATGTGCCATGGGGCTTCGTAGGTGTAGATCTCGGAGCGGCGATGCTGCTCGTCCGACACGTCTTGGTTCGGGTCGCCGCTTGCCCCCATCTTTTTTGTGTGCCCTAATCGAGTTTTTTGCTCCGGCGCTGTGTATTTCACCGCCGGTGGCCGGAGAGAAGGAAATCGCGCCGGAGGAGGGTGTACCCTAGGGTACAACTCGAATTATTCGAATATTCATGTACACTACAATAATGGCGGTTCTGGTAAAATCGACAAACGGCGAAAATGTGTGCTTATAGTTGTAGCTGCAATAATTTTAATTTTTCATTATTGGTCAAACCAAAATTAATTTTAATTTGAGATTATTTATTTCTCTTGTTATTATTATTTATATATTAATTATAATTATATCTATCATTATATAAAAAGAATAACCTTTTTACAAATTTAGAAACATTTTCCCACCAAAATCATTAAATATATCCTACATATAGTAATTGTTGAACAAATCTAAATAGACAAAAAAATCGGCTCATTAATTGTGTAAAGATTTGTTTCTCTTTTTCCTGTTTTTTAGTTTATCAAAACCGTTGTTTGACAATAAATATTTGTTTTTCTTTTTCCTATTTTTAGTATAAATCTACACGAGCTTATCTCTGTTAGAAAATCTCATTGCATATGTCTCACGTGTTTAAAAAATCTCATCCTTATCTATACAGATTTGAAAAAATAAAATAAAAATCAATTCATAATTACTACTAGAAATTCATAATCTTTAAAAAGAAAAAATAAAATAAAATAGAAACTAATTCATAATTATTACTATAAATCCATTATCTACTTTAAGAAGTTAATTTTCAACATCTTTAAAAAGAAAAAATAAAATAAAATAGAAACTAATTCATAATTACTACTATAAATCCATTATCTACTTTAAGAAGTTAATTTTCATCGGTCTAATTACTAATATTTTTACAAATATTATAAGCTAATCATACAAAAAAGTATAATAATAATTTTGAAATGGTGTGTAATCAAATTTTTTTATTCTCTTATACAAAATAATTTTACATTGTTTGACCCTGAATATTTAATTTATAATTATTAAGTATTGTTTATCCTCTCTTTAATTTATAATTACTTTTTTTTTTCATCTTTTTAAACAGGATCAATAGTAGTTTTCTCTTCAGTCATTCAGTGACTCAAACTCGAAGTCTATTTATAATATTGTTAATTTAATATTATTTCCGTGCATCGCACGGGGTATACACTAGTTTATATTAAAAGGTATATAATTTACCAGATTTAGTATAAAGAAAAGTCAACAATATTTATTGCATTACTATTTCCGTATTATACAATCTATACTTATATAAAAGGAGATTCTATTTACTATATTTACTATCCAGAAAAGTCAACTGCATTAAATGTCATTACTATTTTGGTATTATAATATTTTATTTATTTAATTGATTTATTTATTTATTTAATTTAAAAATGTAAGTACAATAAAAAGATTTTAATATTAAAAAAATCAAATACCAAATAAAAATGTGCGCTTTGACTTATTTGATTATATTTGGTATTTGATTATACCAAATATATTCAAATTTAGTATATACATTAAATACTTACTAAAGTATTTATTTGTTTTATTTGTCAAAGTTAAGTATATATTTGTTTATATTATTAAATCATAAAAAAAAATATTAAATCCATATTGTAAAAAAAATTATATAATTTTATAACAATTCTACTACACTATTTAAAAATATTTTTTTTTTATTATATAATAAATATAATAATTAAATATTATATAGTGAACAACAATAAGTAAAACTGTTACTTTCTCTTATATCAAAGGATAAATTTATATGCTAAAATTAAATTTTTATTAATATAAATGTTTTAGTGAGATAATATATTAATTATTTTACAAGCTAGCCCTAACATGCTCATATTTAATGTTTTAAAAGATGTAGAAAATAAACTTATAATAACTCTATTGTTTTTTAGACTTAAACGTTGATTAAAGGAGGTAGAAATTCTTAATTTTTTAGACTTAAACGTTGATTAACACCATAGATTGAGGTCAGTAGTCTTAATGTACAAGAGACTTTAAGACTCCACTTGAATATTATAAAACTTTTATTGAACATTGTACAATTTTCTTGCGTATTATAAACTTTTATTAAATATTGCATCTTATAATATAATATTCTCCAAATAAATATATCTCGTGTATCGCACGGGTCACGTACTATATATATCCCGTACATTTTTCTTTATTCATGTATATAATTATAAGCCTGGATAAATAGCCTTAAAATTGTGCACTCCGTGCATCGCACGGGCTCTGTACTAGTGACTATAAAGTGTATGGAGTTGTGTCTGCTCTTGTTGGTATTTTTATATACTAGTAGTTGATCATGTGTACATAGAACATTACAATTATAAAATAGCTATATATATCACATTTTATAAGTTTGATTATTATTGAATGAACTATATAAATACAAATTATTTGGCTATACATGAATTTATATATTGATTGCATAATATGTAATACATAACATGTTTTTTTGTTACTTTGAGAGATCTAGACCAACTAATTACTTAGAAAGATATTAAACTAATAATATCTTCTTCTTCTTCTTCTTATTATTATTATTATTATTATTATTATTATTTAGTATAAGATGTAATTATTTTACCATAAATAATTACAAACTTGGGAAGGAAATTTTTTTCATTTGCATTTTTAAGCCTCAAATTATATAAATATAGATATATATAGATAAAAAAAAAAAAACTTTTAACGTTTTTTTGGAGAGAAAACTATTGAGGTTTCATTAAGTGCTTTGCTAGCATAGATTTTTATAGTCTTTAGTTTAGTTTCATGGTTTTCAAAACCGAACCGATCATCGAATTGGTGAATCTACCAGTGTAATGGTTCACTGGTCAGATCAGTGGTCGAACCGGTTTAATTAATTTAATATATAACTTTTTTATTTATTTTATATATAATATATAATTGTATATATTTTATCATTAATTTTATAATTAATCTTATAGTGTACAATGACATTTTTCTAAATAAAAGTCTATTAATAGATATAACCGACAATGTTGATAACTTTATTTTATTTTATTATGTGTATTTTAATATATATTTTAAGTTACATAATAGATAATAAATTTGTATTTTAATTTTTAAATTATATTTTATGTTTTTTATTATTTTTAGGTTTGGACTTTTGGTTTTGATAATTTTGGACTTAAAAGTTGAATCCTCAAAATTAACTAAAGTAATTTTCTAAATTAAGTCTTCTATTGCACAATTTAATAAACTAAAATTATTGCACACACGTACAAATCCTTCACAATGTGTAGAATTACTAATTAGTCAAAAGTGAACTTATAAGCCCAAGTCCAAAATAAAAGTCAAATAAAAGAGGATGTATATCCCACATAGAAAACACAAGGAAAAACACATGCTATTTAAATGATAGCTTTAGCTTCTCCATACAAAGCATTAAGTTGAATCGGTTGGGCCCCCAAAACCAGTGTCGATTTATTAGTTTGACTGATTCTTGATTGGTTTGTATGGTTTTTTGCCGAATTTTGGACCAAACGGTTTACTGCCTCAAATCGGACTAGTGTGGTGGCCGATCTTGATTGGTTTGTATGGTTTTTTGCCGAATTTTGGACCAAACGGTTTACTGCCTCAAATCGGACTAGTGTAGTGACCGATTCCCGGTTGAACTGGCCGGTCTGGTCCGGTTTTGAAAACCATGTTTAGTTTATTTGAGTTCTTCTTGTATTATCTTTTTTTTTGTCCATTCGATTGTTTTGCTTGTTTGTGTGTTTTGAGTCATTTGCATATGCTGTGTATTTTTATCGACTTTTATATTTTATTTTATAGTAAAGTGTTGCTTCTTTCTTCCCAAATAATTTTGTACACGAAAAGCACTTCCCTTTAGTTTATTGGAATTTTGGAATCTTGTATGGTAGTTACGACTAGGGCTGCAAACAAGCCGAGCCGCTCACGAGCGCTCGAGTCAAAGCTCGACTCGAGCTCGAGTTTGACCGAACTCGAGCGGCTCGTTGAGCGGCTCGAGATACATGTTATATTACTAAAATATCCCTTATATATATTAGCATAGGTGCTTAATGGTAATTTTACCTTTCCACTTAAAAATTTTTCGAGCCGAACTCGAGCCGAGCTCGAGCTATTTTGATTTCGAGCCGAGCTCGGGCTATTGTAAATTTTGATCGAGTTGAGCTTGAGCAGCTAAAAAAAATCAATCTTGCTCGATATGGCTAATGCTCGACTCAGCTCGACTAGTTTGCAGCCCTACTATTGATCACGCAGGGGATAATTTATTGATACCTCGAATGACGATAACTCATCCAGACGCAAGAATACCATTGAAGTTTCAACATAGACAATTCCCTATTATGGTTGCTTACGCAATGACGATTAATAAGACTCATAGTTAATCCTTATCGCACGTTGGTTATTTTTTAAGAAATCGATTTTCAGTCATGGCCAGTTATATGTTGTTGTCTCTCGCGTTACCAACATAAAGGGATTGAAAATTCTAATATGCGGTGAACGTGACTTGCCACCAAATTAAACAAAAAATATTGTGCATAGAGAAGTATTTTAACAATAAGTAATTTTTCATTTTTTGTATTTATTTTATTTCCATATTGAGATGTTACATAATTATGTAAAATAAATTATTAAAAACGTTATGAGATATGCGCCCCTCCATGCATCATACGAGTTACGCACTAGTTAATCTATATCTACATATATAATAAGAATAACCTTTTGTTTAAAATGACAGGTCAAATCCTGTTAACATTAAATACTTACCAATTTGGGTAAGTTTTTTTTATTTTTTTATTCAGTAAAATAGAAATTATTAAATACTTCCCTTAATTTGTGAGATTAGTTATGACTTATTGTAAAAGATTCAATTTTTAGAGCTACTTGTGATTTCATGCCAGTCTGGTTGCATTTTGCCAGATTTCATCCCTCTCTCACAGGGGTAATTAAGAATTTGTAGTTATCTGTTATGGTAAAAGATTCAATTTTGTTAGCTAATGTGAATTATAATTATTATTCATATAAAGTTTTAAATATATGATAAAATTTACCAAAATAATTATTTTATTGAATCACATTGTAACAAATCGA